AACATGCTCAGTTTCCATTTTCAAGTGAAGAAACTTTAAAATTTTTCTTTTAATTTATTCAATGACCTATTGCTTGTTCAGGAGCATGTCCTTTACTTTTCAAAGATTCATACTATTTCCAGAGTTTTTTCTGTGGTTGATTTCTAATTTCAATTTATTGTTGTAAATAAAGCTAACTGAATTATAAAAAATTTATTATTAGATTTAATATGACTTGTTTCATGGCCTAACATATGATCTGTTCTGGAGAAGTTTTCATGTGCACCTAAGAAAATGCATATTCTGTAGCTATTAGAGGGAATGTTCTGTAAATGTCTCTAAGATCCATTTGGTCTAGTATGATTTAAATCCTATGTTTATTTGTTGATATTGTCAGGATAATCTGCCTTTGATAAAAGTGGGGTGTTGAATCCCCCAACTACTATTACAGATATTAATTTTGCAGTCTCTCTCTCCTTTAAGATCTATTAATGTTTCTTTTACATATTTAATTAGCTTCCTAATTTCACATAATAATTGTCACCTTTCCTTTTGTGTTGCTTTTGTTTACTGGCCCATATCCTTGGGCCTTACATGATACTCACAAAGTACTTCCTGAATTAATGAATAAATAAACAAAGCCATGAAATGGAGCTAAATATTCTTATTTCAAGATATGCATTATGTTGATATTTTTAATTCTTCACTATATATGAATCTAGATTTAATGGCTCAATCAGTCAACCCTAAAGTTATATTTTTGCTTTTTGTTGTTGTAATTATTCACAAATTATACTACTGCCTCACCTGCTATGTTTTAAACTCACTGAGAATAAAGGCATACATTTTTTAAATATTTATTTTTTAGCTGTAGGTGCGCACAATACCTTTATTTCATTTTTATGTGGTGCTGAGGATCAAACACAGTGCCTCATGTGTGCTAGGCAAGCGCACTACCACCGAGCCACAACCCCAGCCCCTAAAGGCATACATTTTTCAGTCTCATTTCCTTAAGTGTCACAACATGGTACTTTGCAAAACTGGGTCTTTAGGAAATGAGTGTGGGATAAATTAATTAGAGAAATATGAATTGGTACTTTCCTAAGTTCTTTTTAAAGTATTGTTTATCACATATATTTTTGCTTTCTTAGGTAAAGGCAAAGATTTGATTATATATTTACTTTTAAAATGAAATAAAATAAAAGTTTTTGAATCTCTATAAACATCTATCAATCCTTATCACAAAAAATGCAACTTTAGATACAAACTATGAACATGTTTTTACATTAAGCACAATAGTAGAGAGGCTAGTAACTATGCAATAGGTTTACAAATAATACTAAAAATACACAGAAACTCAGAAATTCTTTTTTTGCTTTGTTGTGGGGGATACCAGTAATTGAACTCAGGGGCATTCCACCACTGACTGAGCCACATACCAGCCCTATTTTGTATTTTATTTAGATACCTGGTCTCACTGTGTTGCTTGCCCCTCATTTTTGCTGAGGCTGGCTTTGAAATCTCAATCCTTCTGCCTCAGCCTCCCAAGCCACTGAGATTATAGGCATGAGCCATGGTGCCTGGCCAGAAATTCTTCAATGTGCTTAAAATACCAGGTTTTGCAAAATTAATATCGGTAGTGTCAGGAAAATAATATACCTCTTGCTAGAATTAGCTAAAACAGATATTTCCAATTAGAGTAGTAAAATACAAATATTAAAAGTATCTGAGTCCATCTTCATCAATTATAATTTTCACAGGATGCAAATAGTTTCATGCCATGTAAAAACTGTAACAGTAATAGCCATGACAAAATAAAGCTCTAGAGTAAATGCCACTCTAGGCACTAATTAATAGTGGAATTGCTATATAAACACTGTTGTTTGTGAGTCAGAGAATGTCTTGAATCTGAAAATACATGAATTCTGAAACAACACTTTTATCAATATTTAAATTTTACCAATAAATCCCATAGGAACCAAAATAAAAAAAAACTTCAAATGAACTTTTTCAATTACATTGATATTTCTTACAAAGTATATTTGTATAGTTTCTAAAAGTCATCAAACAATAATAAAAATTCCTATTGTTGCATAGCATTTAACATCTTGCAAAGTATATATTTACTGATATAATTCTCACAAAAAAATGCTACAAGATATTACTGTTATTACTTCCTAAACCACAAATGATGTGAAGTTTAGAGCTTGGACTGTCAACTCTCATATGACTCCAACATCAATGTTCTTTTCATTATTTCACTATTTGTTACTTTTTCTCTTGTCTAAAATCCCATTTATTTCACATCTTCCTCCCTTAAGACATCTGTCACCTCATTTATGTACAGCTTTTAAAATCTAACAATACATTATGAATTCCTTCACTAGGATCTAATAGACACCTATTAAATTTCTGTTAAAATACCTACATTTATTGATCTTCTTCTAGGCAACAGGTATATGAGGAAAGCAATAATAGAATTTTAGCTTATGGAAGATACATCTGCACAAAATGAAAAAGGCCTGAAAACTCCACCAAAACTGTCTATATTACCTTAAATTCTGGTTTTTAACTGCCTGAAGAGTTCAATATTACATAGTGAGAGCTCACTAGAATAGAATTAAGTGTAGAAAACCTGAGGAATTGAAGGAAATACAGGTTTTCACATCTTTAATAGAGATACTTGCAAAATTTTACAAACAGAAAGAAATCAAGTAAAATATTCCAATGTGAACTTATAATAATGTTTTATATTTAAAGGAAAATATTAAAATAGGTTATATTTTGTAAGTTTTCCCTTTCCTTTTTGTTTCTAAAAATATTAATTTAAATTTGTATAGCTACATTTCAAACTAGAAGTGGTAATAAGAGAAATATTTCACATTCAATGTATGATTTATTTCAAAAATTATAACTTTTAGAGTTTAGAAAATAGAAAATAAATTGTAGTTAATTAGTTTATACTGGCTTTACCTATGATCTTTCCTTCTATATTACCAATATGGTCACAAATTGTAATAGAGTAGGTTATCTACATCCATAACCTTAAAGGCACATACAGTTCAAACAATTTTCCAAGGAAACAAAGAATAATAATCTTTGAAATAGTATGGTTTCTTAAAAATTAGGCTGGACACATGAAATAGGGCAAGCATGATTATCCAGTTGAGGTTTGAATATTATGCAAAGTTCACAAACAGTTTCACAACTACACTACATACTTCAATAGACTTGTTTCATTTATCCATCTGAATGGTATTCATTTTCTTTTTTCTTTTTTTTTATATTTCTTTAGCTGTAGTTGGACACAATATCTATGTATTTTTATGGGCGCTGAGGATCGAACCCAGTGCCTCACACGTGCGAGGCAGGCGCTCGACCACTGAGCTACAGTCCCAGCCCATCATTTTTATTTAACTACAATTGCTAGATGTGAATACACCAAATGCTACTGAATCATACATTTTAAAATGGTTGATTTTATGACACGTGAATTTCACCTCACAGATACACACACATACACACACACACATACATGTTTGTATATACATATATATATAAACATACATATATTTGTACATATGGATAGATGTATAAGTTACTAAGTTACCTAAAACTCTATTAGGTTCATTTAATTTTCATAGTTTGATCTTTCCATAAATCAATTAGTATCACATCTTGAAAATGCCTGCCATTTGAAATAATGAAGTGAAAAATGACAAATGGGGCAGGGGGGATTCCATCAAAATAGAAGAAAGACTAGATGAAGTGACTGAGGGGGAGAGAGAAGGGATTGGATAAGGGAAGAACAGAGAAATGTGTGCATATACGAATATACAGTAAATCTCACCATCATGTATATACACAAGATACAAACCTAACTCCTCCCCCAAAATCTGAAAGTAAATAGCAGGAGAGAAGGAGGAGGGAAGGGAAATCCAGGGAACTGAACTTGAGCAAATTATATTCCATGCCTTTTAATTATGCCCAAATGAATTCAAACATTATGTATAACTAAAAAGGAACAATAAAAAATATTACAAAAAATAACAAATAGAGGAATCAATTTTTCATACACCAAAATCTTGCCATTAAAAATTTCTCAAAAGGTTTAAGCAAAAAAAAAATTGAATTTACTCTTCATCTGTTTAATGCTCAGCAAAGGAAATGTAACAAATATATAAAGTAGTTTATCAATACTTAAAAATTTTCATAAAACAATTTATCATTAGCTGGGCATGGCAGCACATGCCTGTAATCCCAGTAACTCAAGAGTGAGTCAGGAGGACTATAACTTCCAGATCAGTCTCAGCAACTTGGCAAGACCCTTCCTCAAAGCAAAGAAGGACCTGGGGATGTAAGTCAGTGGTAAAGCATGCCTGGGGTCAATCCCCAGTACCAAATAATAATAACGATAAAAATGATAATTTAGCAATGTGAATGGATCATTTTTGAAATTTCACTATTTTCTGTTTATTGTATGTTAATACCAAAAAGCATTATATATAAAGGAAAAATCATAATTCTTAATGACAAAACCAATATTGTCAAGTAATATTGTCCCATGCATTAAGAAATGTAATTACCACTATTCAATACTATATTTCTTAAAAATTTCTCATGGTACCATTTTCAAAGAAATTTCAAGGGACAATCTCAAAAGTATACATTTCATAATTTTAAGTTTCCTTAGAAAAAAGAAAAATAATGATATTAACATTATTTTTATTTTTAATTTAGAATACTTTTAATGCTCAAATTTAACATATTTTAAATATGATACATTTAAATTTACTTAAAATGTATAAAGTTCATTTTAATGCAAAATACTTAAAATAAATATTTCCTTATTAGGACTTAATGTTTTAATTAATTTTGGAGCATCATATTTAAGAAATTAGAAAAAATTATGTGCAAAACTTTAAGTATTATAGGCATTTATCGCAAACCATTCATTATTATATTATAATTATACTCCAAACTACATCAAAATATACATATGAACTAAACTGAAAACGTACATCAACAAATTGTATGATAAAGTGTCTCCTCTGTCCATCAGAATATACAGAAAGGACATATTCACCAGGTTTCCCATGACTCTCGCGCACCAAGAAGTCTCCTTGTTGCTTTAACAGATCTTGTGCTTCTATTCTGGGAATTGCACCATGGTACCAATCTTGTTCCGCCAGGGGCTTCTCACTTATGGAGATCACATCAGAAAGCTGAACAAACATTTTTTAAAAACTAAATTAGAGAAAACAGTGATTTTTGTCCTGGTAAAATTCATAGCAATCTATAAATACTTTTTACATGTGTTCCTCCCTTTTATTTACCAATAGAAAATTCTATATGATGATCTGAAATTTTTATAATGTTTAGAGAAAATATCTTCTGGAGAATCAGTGCTGAAGTTTAGCATAAATACAATCCTTCAATACTTTTGGTTTTTCGATCTACCACAATACAATATTAGCATTCAGAGTTAGCATTTACAGTCATATTCACTGCCATAAAATAAATCTATATATTAAAATTTAACAACCAGAGAAATTATGAAGACACATTTATCACACACAAGTTCATTTTAATTTAAATTAAAAGTTATTTCTTTTTGTGGAATTATCTTTTGACCACATAGGCTGTAGATTGTCCTTGTCATGTGTTTCAGGAGCACCATCTCAGTTTAATTTAAAGTTGTCTTCCTGTGCATTTTCTCACCGATGGGACTTCCTTAACCATTACCTCTGCCACACAGCTGGTCCTGCTTCCATTCAGCAATGACAGATAAATTCTTAGGGAAAAACGCACCACTAACATGCAATTACAACCCAGTGTAAAACCAGGGGACCCAGCAGGAAAAGCAAATTGTCTACTCTTTTAGAAGTCAAATGTTAATACCAAAATAGTACATATAATTAAGAGGTAATTATATTTCCTTGAATTTTTACTGAATGATGGTAGATACAATCACACATTTTCTTATCACAAGTAAAAAGTACTGTTGTTATATTTTATTCATCCATAGGAACTAAACTGATGCAGATGGTAAGAACATTTTATGGGTAAGGTATAACAATTTGCATCCATTCTAAAGATTCTCAAAATACAATATGCATAATGCCTCGTGAGAAAGTAATTTATAAACAGGAAAATCAGAAGCTAGGACATTTGGGGGCATTCCTTGGAAGGGATATTGAGACCTCAGGTCCTTCCTGTCTCTTTCTCTCTCTTTGCTTCCTGGCTGACATGAAGTGAACAGCATCTTCACTAAGTGATTCTGCCAAGATATACTGTGATGCCATAGGCCTGAAGTCCATGGAGTCAACCAACCCCAGAATGAAACTTCTTAAACCATAAGCCAAAATAAACACTATCTTCTAATAAGTTTTTTTTATTTACAATGCATTTTGTCACGATGATGGAAAGCTGACTAACACAATAAATAAAAGCCAAGTATTTGCATATAGGTTTTATGAGCTGATATTATGAACTGGATGCATGACCAAAGTATGGTGTCTTTGAATTAAGTGAAAACTCTCCATTGTTTGGTACCACCAAAGAACCCCAAAACACTAATACAAGTACCATTTCACATTATCCTGAACTCTTTTATTGGTTAAAAGTAAATACATACAAAATAAAGTGATAATGTACCCAAATAGACTTAAAGAAAAGTATACATTTGGTTTTTACTTATGAAAGTTTCAAATTTAAAAAAAAATATATACAGGGTGTGACTGTACATGGAAACTTTTTAATAAATGAAATAACCCTTTTTCTTTTTAGTAGTAATTATGATAAAGATGATATTTTTAAAAATTTTAATGTAATCCCCCAAATGCGCTTAGAGAACAAATTTAATAATGAACCAGGCAAAACTATAAGAAGTAAGAGAACCATATTTTAAAAAATAAATGCATCATTTAACCAAAATTATTTTTTTTGCATATTGCTACTAGTAGCTTTTAATTCTTGAAGGTAGTTAAAAGAATCAGATGTTTATTTTTTAAAACATCACAGTGAATCTAACTGTAATCAGCATAAAAATTTTTACTATAAGAGAAATATTTCTAAGATTTCTTAGTGGCAAAATTGTTTGAATATGAAAAACTCAATGTAACATATTTTCAAAGAACTTGTTTTGCTCGCTCTCACTCTCTCTCTCTCTCTCTCTCTCTCAAGGAGTTCTACATAATAGGAAAGCATCACACCCAAGGATGTCATATTCTTGAGGTCTTATTTTGGCTAAATTTTCCATCGAAGTGTACATTTATTTAGAACAGGGAAAATGCAGAGTTTAGAGATTTCACTGTCTGAAAAGTGGTTTGAAGTATAAAAGCTCATCTAAGGTTCAAGAAATTCATATAAGGATTTGAAGATGATAAATATGTTTGGGGAAAAAATCAATCTGAAAAAATATCTAAGTTTCAGGTTTTGGGTTTTTTTGTGTTTTTTTTTTTTTCTGTTGTTTGTTTTTTAAAAAGTATAAAGGAGCCTATATTGCTATCTTACAATGATGACACTTCAGTTCTATGGGTTTATTAGTTTTGTGGGGTTAGGAAGTTTGAGATCTGTTTTTCTCCATTTCCTTGAAAATACTACTTTGAGATGTAGCTTGCAGGTGTATATCAAGTTTGTGTATACATACATATCCTCTGCCTAGGGCTATCAGATCTTTCAAAGACTTTTCTGGAAGCACTGGAAAGGACATTTTTATTAATATGATTTCAGTGAAATTATAATACAACTTTGCAATCTTGATAGTAATAGAATATAGGATGTATCAGCAACTAAATCCAGCATGATGAGAACTTACAATGGTTATCAAAAACGAAAGTCTTTTTTATCGCAAAGATCTCATCTTTCTAATCTTCTGTGGGGAAAAATTTTTTATTGGTGGTTAAGTTACCAGAGATTTCTGCCAAGATATAAGAGGCTAAGAAGCCTACTTTTATAAAAGTTATAATTAATCTAATTCAGTTAATAAGTTACACTTAATAAGATGAATTTTCCTGATTGACCACACTACTCATCTAGTCAGTTATTTTCCCCAGGTCTTATTCTGAAAGAATATTCCAGGAAAAAACATATTGGCTTAATGAAATAAAAAGATTTATTTATGTGAATAGGCAATACTATAAAATGAAAGTTGTTTTTTGTTTTTTGGGTTTTTTTCCTCCCAGGGGAAAAGGTAGGTCATCTTTTCTCCTTACCATAGTTCAGGCTAGATGTCAAGTATGTAATAAAAATTTGTATGCCTTTATCTCATGATAAGATGAGCTGTTTTTTGAGAGGCACAAACAAAAGTGTTAAAAAAAAAAAGTCTGTTTGTACATTAAAATTATGTACCCAAATAAACCATTAGAAAAAACAAAAACTAGAATAAAACAGCATGGAAAATATATAAGTATATCTCTTACCAAGCTTCAACAAGTTGAATAAAATATCAACACATTTTTAAAATCTTTAATGTATTTTGAATAACCACAAAATGACACAATTCTCTTTTCTATTCTTACACAAATTTAATTAACTTCATATATAAGTAATAAATTACTCCAAATCTAGTTTAGTAATATTCTGATATACAATTGACTCGTAGAATTCCAAACATTTCTCAAAAATTCCATAAGACCCCTTTAATTTAAAAACACTATATAACTTGAGAATTTTAGGACAGGATGAAGAATCAAATGTCATAAAATTGAAGTAAGAGAATCATCAAAGGTGAAAAACACCTGGCCTATTGAATAGGAACATGCAAGATGGTAGCAAAAATTATTTTCAGAGAAGGGGAAATATAACCACAGTTAGGAGAAGTAAATGATTTAGAGTTTGACAGTTCAAAACAAACTGTTAAATTTATATAAAATAAAAACAAAAGAAATAATGTTCTTCCTCCCAGTTTTCCCCCAAATTTCTAAATAGTTTGAATTTATTTACTACTTTAAGACAATGAAAAAAAATTTAATACAAATTTGGGTCTTCAGGGTCATCTGCAATCAGGCCAAATGGCATAAAAATTAACTAGAAAGTGGTTCTGTCTTGATTGGCACTAAGGACTGTAATTCAACACATTCCAGGTTTTGTTACCACTAAAAAATAGAATTAATAAATTTTTCTGTGCTGAGATTATTAACCAAAACAAAGATATTTTATCTAATGTTTACTTTCTACAACGAAACTAACAAAACTCTTCTTCATAAATTTCTTAATTAACAATTTTTAATACCCAAGATTTTGAGTTTGTTTAGTTGTAAGCTAATAATAACACTGTTCCCTAGAATGGTGACTATACAAAATTACATAGAACCATAAATTAACATTCAAATATAAATATTTCTGAAACTTTATTAAACAAAGAAAGACAACTAAGCCAAACTCAAAATTACTTTACTTCCACAACTTGCTTCCTGTATTGCCTTTTTGTTTACCTTCTTGGGTCTCTCATAATAGACACTATCTTCACCAAAATATATTTTTCTTGAATTCATTTATGGAGTAACAGGTCTGTTTTTTCAATATCTTTTTTTCAATATCTCTTTTTTCCAACTTACTTAGTGTCTTTACTTTATCAGTAATTACTTTCTTTTCTCTTTTTATTAATTTTGTGCACTTTATGAATGTGCTTGTGACTCTCATTCATTCTCTGTCATTTTTATCATTTTGTAATATTTTTGCTAGTCTTATTTTTTAAGGATCAAGTATTTTTTCTTTAAGCTCAAATATTTTATGTATAAAATATTCCACAATATCAACACATTTTCATCAAATAGCTGAATTCAGTGCTAATTTTGTATTATACATTTTAACTTAAACTATTACCAGATCATTGCAATGAATCAGTATGCAATCATATTTCAGTAAATTTAAACATTTATCTTCAAGTTGGAGTTGCCTGTGTGGAACACAGTATCAGTCTAACATGATCTGTGCAAATTACTTTAAACATTTGAGCAAACACATACAAGAACATATTTGATCTCTCAGAGTAAAAATATTGGAAATATCCCAAAAAGTCCTTCTTGAAAATTGCGTATGTTAATGCAAGTGATTCATAATTCATAATTCAGAGAATAAACTTTCATAAACATGACTAACTTATACAGGAAAATCTGGTTATGGGAGCAAAAACACTATTTTCTTTGTTATTTACTTCTTTACATTTTAATGATGGGGGGAATTAATGAAGACCTTATAAACAATACAAGACAATCAAGGTTTAAAATGTATAATATTTAACTTAAATCTAATATGTCTTGATAGAGGAAGCACAGGTTATTCTGCTAGACTCAAAGGTGAATGCTAAAAAATACAAGTGGCTTGTGCTACACATGAAAATAATCACATTCCTCTGTCAGTGGTGGAAGCCAAGTATTATTATACAACATTATCTGATATACAACTTAAACTTAGCTGAATTATAATTTTCTGAAAAGTAACCAAGCAAATCTTATTTATGCTATAGAAAAAATGAATTTTAAGAAGACAGTTGCATAATTTAATACTTCTTCTGATGTTTAAAGAACAAGTCATTTGAACTAAAATGTGTTCTAATCTGATTTTAAGAATATAGTGCTACTATTATATACTCACCATATCAGTGAAACAACCAATATTCACAAGAGATTGTAAGATGAAACAAGGGGTTTGCTCAGTCACTCATCATAGAAATTTTTTAGTAAAAGGATGGTCCAGGAAAAAGAGCAGTATTCTTGACATGACTGGAACAATTAAGCATAGTATGTTTTGAATGACTTTCTGTTAAAATGGACACTCATGATTGCCAGCCAGTATAATCTAACAGCACTGACATTGACTTTAGAAGCAGTCACTGAGAATTCTCAATGCAAAATTATAACCTTCTGAAAATGGGAAGAACTGCATGTGAAGTTGGTCTCAGTGCTCTGAGATACTGATAATGGTTTATACTCCTTTAGTATTATGAATGAAAGAGCACATGTTTGGAGCTAAAATAACATATTTAAATGCTACCCTAATAATGACAACAAATATTAAAGATTTGATTTATCACATCAAACACAGAGTTAAATCCAAATTTATCTATCATCTATGTTATGTTCTTCCTTTCATAAAGACCTATGTAAATGTTCCATTAGTCTTTAAAGGTAGCTCCACTGTCAAAAACATTGAGACAAAGACCTTATTCAAGTAAGAATACTATTACGATTAACTCCAATTTCCTTTTCCTATGTTTCTCCAAAGTACATATACAAGTGCACAGTAAGTACATGAGAAAAACACTCAATATCATTAGTCATTAGGAAAATGCAAATAAACAACTACATGCCCACTAGGTTGCCTATATTTTAAAAGATGGAAAACAGAAAATAACAAGTTTTGCCAAGAATGTGGAGAAATTAGAACATTGCTAGTAGGAATGTAAAATGTAGTAGCCACTGTGGAAAACAATTGGACAGTTTCTTAAAAATTTAAGTTAGAATTACCATATGACTCAGCAATTCCATTCCTAGGTATGCACACAAGAAAAGTAAAAATATCTGTTCATGTAAACAACACTTGTACATTGATAATAGCCAAAAAGTGGAAACATCCCAAACTTCTATCAACTGATGAATGTGATAAACCCATTAATGAAATACTAGTTGGTCAAAAAATGGGATGAAGTCATACACTACAACATGGATGAGCCTTAAAAACATAACAAGTGAAAAGAACTAGATATAAAAGCCCATGTGTTGCATGAGGCATACCCATAGGAATCCACAGGACGAAAAGCAGATAGCTAACTGTCAGGAGATGAGGCAAGAGGAAATTGAAACAAATTCCTAACAGGTATACAGTATCTTTCTGACAGGATTAAAATATTCTGATATTAGATGGTATTGGTGATTACAAAATATAGCATATTACAAAATATACTAAAAAAAACACTAAATGTACACTTTAAAATGTGAATGTTATGTGAAGTATATCACAATAAACAAACAACTATGCTAACCTAGCAAGTTTTCTAAGACTTTCATAATTAGAAAAATATCATTTAAAATAACCAAAAGGTTTTTTTTTCTATTTTTGCCTTTACCATATTAGCACACCCTGAAAAATAGCAGAGAAGAACAAAAGTTATAAATTATATTTAAAACTTAATTAAATTTAAAACTTAAAATAAACTATACTTAAAACTTGAGTAGTTTGGAATTGTTATGCATCTTGGATTATCATGCTTAACACATGAAATATTCACATTCACATTAAAACTCAATAACTCAATTACTTGTATATTTGAGGGGAAAACCTTCTTCAAATAGGAAGCTAATGCCTTAGAGAAAAAGTTCCATGTACTTGTTCACAGCATATCTGGGTTGACCAAATTGCTCTTTCCAGAGATAACTACTATCCCACTACCTCTGTCACATGCCAGACCTAGGTTTGAATGTTTAATATATCAGACTTTAATTTTATAATCAAAACGTTCATAAAAATATGAACACTTAAACTGAAAAAATACATATACAGTAATCTCTATTATAAAAGTATTATTTCACAAGAAATTTGTTGATATTATTCCTCTAGTAAGGCTCCAAAGTACATAAAATGTTCCCATAATCATTCATCTATAGTATAGGAAGACTCTAATAGAGTAGTCCCTTCTTTATACATGGTTTCACTTTCTGCAGTTTCAGTTTCCCAAAAGCAATTATAGTATTAAATCATCTTACAAGGTCACACAAAGAAAAACGAGTACAGTACAATAAGATATTTTGAAAGAGACAGACCATATATTCATATAGCTTTATTATAGTATATTCTTAAAATTGTTCTATTTTATAATTATTATTACTGTGCCTAATTATAAATTAAACTTTATGATAGTTATGTATAGGAAAAAATACATACATGGTTTGATACTACTCAGTTTCATACATCCAGTAGGGATACATACAGTAAGGAATGTAACCCCTGAAAATAAGGGGGATCCACTGATATTGTCTTCCTAATATCAATGTTATATGATGTTTTAGTATAGACATATATACAGAATCATATGCATACTAAAAGTTAAATTATGCTCTTATCTTTCTATTTATAACTATAAATTTACAAACAAATGAAAAAAGATAGACAACAACTATAGCACACAGAGTTAGTTCTACTTACTGCTGAGGAGCCCAGTACAGATTTTGGAGACCTAATTATTCCAGCAATTGAATGACGAATAGATTCAAATTTGGAGAGCCTCTCTTTTCTTTCCTGGAGGAATTAAGACACAAGCCTTCAACAATAGTAAACTAGCCAATACATACACATTTTTGTATTTATGTATTTATTCACAATTATCCATCAAGTTTTCCACTTAAGTCAATATAAACTTTCTGACATTAAGGACAAAAAATAACCAAGTTCATATAAACTCTATAGTAATTTCTTTCCTGAACCCTCAATAAATGTCTTGAGTTGGGAAAAATAAGAAAGAAATTAATATACAGTTTATAGATAAAACAAGAAATACAAAGGATATGCTAGGAAAACAAAGTATTAAATCTCTCTCTCTCTCTCTCTCTCTCTCTCTCTCTCTCTCTCTCTCTCTCACACACACACACACACACACACACACACAAGGAAACATCATAACAGAAAATTTCAGATAACATTATTGTTGTAAAAATATTTCAGATAATACTATAGTTGTAAAAAATTTTCAAGAGAAAGAACAGAAGGAAAAAAGGGAGATTTATATGGAACACATTTTTAAAGTGACTTCCACTTAAGTGCATGGTCAATTTCCCAAAAATTCACATCAGGATGACGATAAGGAGGAGGATCATGATATGATTGGTGGTAACAATTCGGGAGTGGGGACATTAAGATAAAAAGGCAGCAGTGGCTGAACTACCACTAAGAAAAGTCAATCTATATTTAAATTTGCTTCAGAATGTATATTTCTGAATATCATATATCACAACTGAAAAAAACTTTTCCTTAAAATTTCATAATTTCAGATCCATTTTATACTCCTAACTGAATGGAATAGGTAAGAGGGTAACAAAAGAGAGGAAAAAAAGATAAGAGGAACAAAGGAAAACTTATGAGGGTTTGCAATGGAAGCACTTGTCAATTTCCATACAAGAACTACATTTCAACTGTTAACAGCAGACAAAGAACAAGAGATCCTGTTGTCAAACAATACTTCCATGTCTTTCATTAGTAGTGATGCTCCATTTTACTTGTGGAAAATAGCTAAGCAGGCCACAACACCTTTTGTTTCCTTGTCCCCATTAGCAGGGTATGTCCCTGTAGTAGTAAAAGTAGACTTTCTTGGCCACCTTATAAAATTCAACTTTCACCTCTCCACTTACCTACTCCTACCTTATTTACTTTTCCTTCTAACAGATATAGAGCTAATAGTTCTGATTAGTCTATAAATATATGCATATTAATCATTTAAAACAATATTAAGACAACTTTCTAACAGAAGAGATGATTGCAACTTCATCATCACATAACTAACTTGCTTAATTATGTGAAAATTAATGTGAAAAATTTTTTACAACTATAGTGGTATCTGAAATATTCTGTTATGCTGTTTCCTTAGTGTGTGTGTGTGAGTATGTGTGTGTGTGTGTGTGTGTGTGTGATTTAATACTTTGTTTTCCTGGCATATCCTTTGTATTTCTTGTTTTATCTATAAACTGTATATTAATTTCTTTCTTATTTTTCCCAACTCAAGACATTTATTGAGGGTCCAGGAAAGAAATTACTATAGAGTTTATATGAACTTGGTTATTTTTTGTCCTTAATGTTAGAAAGTTTATATTTGACTTAAGTGGAAAACTTGATGGGTAAATTATGAGTAAATACATAAATATAAAAATGTGTATGTTTTGGCTAGTTCACTATTCCTGAAGGCTTGTTTCTTAATTCCTCCATTTAAATCAATTTCATCATGTATCAACAAAAAATAATATAAACTTTCAGGTGACTTACAAGTAAATTACTAAAAACAACTGGAAATTCAGACTAAAAAGCATGTACATATTTAATGTACTTACAGAAAATAAATCTTTACTGTTGTACAAATGATCATCACCTTAGAAATGTGAGCATGCACTTTACATCCAAGCATTAATCGATGCTGTAGCTCCAGTTTTACTTTTTAATAAAAATCACTATAACTGAACCACAAAAAGGGATGAACAATGAACAATCATGAAGTAGTGATCTTTCTTTAAAACATGCTCCCTTCCCCAGCTTGGGTTTTTTTTTTTTTTTGTGTGTGTGTGTGTGTGTGTGTGTTGTTTTCTTTTTGATGCTTCTGAAGTTCTCTGAAATAAAAAACTGGTTAAAACAACAACAACAAAAAAAAAATAGAAGCGGGATATAAAGAGAGTAATAGTGGGAGTAAAGCATATTCAGTTGTTCTATAATTAGATTTATTAAGAAATCTATTATGATGGCGTGAAGCACACACCCTGGAAAGCACTGAAGATACCATAGTTCTTCCAGTCCCCAGTCCCATTTATCCTTTTTCTTATTTTTTTAGGGAATTTCTTTACTTGTTCTGTGCAACTGTAGAAATCATCATCTTGCCACTGCACCTACTACAGAAAGATGAGATCAAAGTGCTCATCTCATCTGTTTTGGCAATGAAAAGCTTCACAAGAAAGCAGTAGGCACTTCTACTGTGAATTTAGGCTTTTACTCTAAGTCAATGGTCTTGAGATAACCAGACAGAGTACTGTTACCATGTGAGAGTACTAGAAAAACGATGGAAACTGTAAGGGAAGTCATACAAAAGGGCAGAAAATTCAGGGGAGATTTTTAAGTATTAGCATTTTATTTATATATGAATTATATGCACTGAGATGGTAGATATTAACTCCCTCAGGTTACACCTTAGGTATCAAATCCTAGCAGAAAAGAGAATCCTTTCCCATAAAACCCTTTAACATTTTCTTAAGAGGATAATACTAGATTTATTTACATGGTAGTTTAGAATTATCTAATTGGTAAATCCAGGTATTGGGATAAAAAAGACTTCAAAAACTGCTGTTGTTATAAAACATAATATATTGTGTATTTAAAAGCATACAGGGGCTGGAGTTGTGGCTCAGTGGTAGAGCGCTTGCTTAGCATGCATGAGGCACTGGGTTTGATTCTCAGCACCAGAGAATTTATTGTGGCTCAGCACAAATGAGTAAAATAAAGGTCCATCAACAACTTTAAAAAATTTAAATAAATAAATAAATAAAAGCATACAATTAGTAAAAACACCCTTTCCTTTAAGGTACTTTTTAGACAGGTTGAACTAAGAAATAATAAGACCTTAAATTTCATATAGGAATAATCGAAATAAAAATAGGGTTTATAAAATATTTCAACCAGTGTCAGCTCACTTGCTGTCCAAATTTCCCAAAATAAAACATAAAATTAATTTGCCAAAGCTTCTATGTAATATTAAATAAAATCTTTAAATTATAATCTACATAATACCAAATCACATTGCACTGACTTCACTGACAGTTTATTTTTAGATGAAAGAATTAAATGGCTACTTTAGGGCTGGGGATGTGGCTCAAGCGGTAGTGCGTTTGCCTGGCATGCGAGTGGCCCGGGTTCGATCCTCAGCACCACATACAAACAAAGATGTTGTGTCCGCCAAAAACTGAAAAATAAATATTAAAACTATCTCTCTCTCTCTCTCTCTCTCTCTCTCTCTCTCGCTCTCTCTCACTTTCTCTTTAAAAAAAAAAAATGACTACTTTAAAAATTAAAATTATAAAGTTTTCCTTCATTTACCATGGACACGAGTGCCTAAGTGTGTCTGTAGGTCTTCCAGGGCTGGTGTTGATGATAGGTAGCAGATGGACATGAATATTAGTAGGACATGAGGTTAAGGCAATAATTCTGTAAAGTGGTGCTACCTACTGGCATTCCACATGCTTTCTCTTAAAAAGCAATACAATACCAGAAAGCAACTTACTGAAGGCCATTCTGGTCCTGCTCTGGCTTAAGTCAATAGGATAGGTTACATTCCTCAGCAAACACTCTGTTATCTGGAGGAAGGTAAGACTTTACCCTGGTGATAAGAATATAGTTTACTCTGAAGGGGGAGTTTTCTGACCTTCACACAGATCAAAGATTCCAACACAGAGAAAAACGAGATAATTAAAAGCAAAGCCCATCAACTATAAAATCTGAAAAGCAAGTTCTAATCAGAACCAGTCAGCACAGGCCAAGGCAACTAAAAGTTGCCTTTAGATATTTGACATATCATTTTAATCCTATTTAATAGTAATTACCCTTCCCCATGAGTTTCACTTGGGTCCCTGTGGGTAAGAGCATGTGCAGTAGGGACTTTAAGACAATCCAACTGTCAGTTAAAAGCTGAGATGTGGTATTTGGGTGGGATACTCTAGAAACTTCCCTAAGATCCCCAATGAAATTAGGAAACAAAGGATCACTGCATCCCTCTGCTCTTTGGGAGGAACTACTCTCTCTCTCGAAAAAGTATTTTCCTTTTTCTCTAATAAACTTTATTATACTTCTACAATTTTTTTTGGTCTTGCTAGAAATTTTCTCCTGTAAGGGACTCAAGATCTGAGAGAAAAAACAATTGCTGGGCCAAAGTTGGTAACACTCATTTTAGGGACCCCAAGTAATGACTAGATAAAGAGCTTTCTCCAGGTAAAGGACACACAAGGATTCTAACAAAAGGCAGTTCCTCACTGTGCAGGAGGTCTGCACCAGAGAAGGAAGACTGGGAGAGCCAATGCTATGAAAAATAATGAAATAATATTGTGATCAGATGCAGGGGAAAATGTTGTAAGTACAGATATTAACCTACTTGAAAGAAAAGTTCTAGATGCAGTTTTGGTTTCACATTTCATTTAAGAATAGTTTCTCCCTGTTTTTAAATTGAATAATAATAAAATGAGATATTCCCTATCTCCATACTTGTGTGTCATTCATATATATATATATATATTTACACCTATGAATTTATATTATAAATAATATATAATATAAATTAAATATTATATAATATATAAATATATTATGTAAATATATATTTTACTAAGAGGTTCATTTTTTTAATGCTTTCATTTTATTTATTTTTATATGGTGCTAAGGATTAAAGCCCAGTGCCTCACACACACTAGGCAGGCACTGAGCTATAGTCCCAGCCCCAACAGGTTCATTTTTATGTCAAAGAATTAATGGCAGCTTTAAAATAATTAAAATTAAAAAGC